GTAGAAGAGGACCCTAGTGGAAGGCACTTTGGTACTTCAAAGACATTGAGAGAAGGCCACTGGTGCCAGAAGAGGCTGGGAGCTGGGTGGCACTCAGACCTTATGGGATGTCAGAGGCCACATTTACCGTTGGTTCTTCATCCTGAGAACAGCAAGGAGCTATAGTTGAGTTTTCAGGAAAGCACTTGGCATAATCAGATTTGAATTTTGTAAAAGCTGGCTTTGGCTATACCATGGAGAAGGATGTTTAGCAGGTGGAGGTGGATGTGAGGAATCAATTAGGAGGATCTTGGAGTAGCCATGGCCGATAAGAAGAGTATCACGGAATATGGTGGAGCTGAAGAAGAGTGTGCAGATTCAAGAGGTGTTTAGATAATTAAAATCAACAGGTCTTGGTGATTGACTGAATGTGGGAGGAGAGACAGAGATATTCAGGCTGACTCCTGACTTCCTGGCTTTGGGAATTAACGGATGGTGACACCATTCTCTAAAGGTAGCAGACTCTGGAAGAAGCCAGTTTTGGTATGGAGATTGGAGTTCAGTTTCAGACATGCCAAGTTTGATGGGGAAGCTGACTGACAAACTTGGGTTAGCAGTTGGATTCACAGAGGAGAGGATTGGGTTACAGATTAAAGTGTGGCTTTATTGGGTTATAGAGGTAATCAAAGCCGTGAGCGTGGCAGCCCACAGTGAAAAGAGAAATGAGGCTAGGCCTAGCTTTTAGACCTTCCAGCACTTAATGGACAGAGAAATTATCAGGATTGTGAGAGCAGAAGGAGAGAGAGGGGGAGGCAAAAAAGAGGCCACTTTAAGTAGTGGTCAGGTGTCATATCAAAAGATACTTAGGAAGAGCTCAACTGTTTGGTGGCTGGATAAATGAACAGACAAATGCAACAATGAATGAGACCTGCCTCAAATGACATGGCTAGGAGATGGTAGGCCTAGGACTCAAACCCGGTCATCTTTAATTGTCTGCTCTTCCCCTCAAACCATGCTGACTTTAATGACCAGCACCTTATGTCCTATAAGGGAACCCATCTTAGAAAGTTGGGGGGGGATTGAGCTAGGGTTAGAAAGATGGCCTGGATTTGCAGAGGGGAGTTGGTACTCCAGTTGGATTCAAGGCAGTGCCAGAGACATGGAGCTGGAGGTGAGAAAATCATGCTTAGGGAGCAGGAAGGAAGCTTGGCTGACCTCTACGCCTTTGCTTCATTTCTTCTCCTTTCACCCTCAACTTCCAAACCCTTGTTGCCTCTTCTAGTTATTACCCCTATTCCCCTGTCAACCCACCACCTCATGTAGGTTCTCATAAGATGAAGCAACTGTCTGCGATCCTTGACTGCCCCTCTGCTGCCCGTTACCTCGACGGGTCTGCTCTATTGAGTCTCTAAAGTCATTTACTGCTTTGTCTCATCCTCCCTTTTTAACCTCCAGGAGTGTAACATTGGCTCCTCATGAGGCTGCAATATTGATTCATTCATAAATCATTCATTTATTCAACAAGTGACTATTGGATGCCTGATCTGTGCCAGGCACTATTCTAGGTTCTTGGTACACATTAATGAACAAAACTGACAGATTCTTGCCTTCAGGTAGCTGACATTCTAGCCAGGAGAGACAGACAATAATGAAATTATATAGTATGTTGGAAGGCAACAATTGATATAGGGAAAAAAAATGCACAGTAGGGTAAAGGGGATTCGGAGTGCAGGGCTAGGGGTCAGGGTAAGTTTTTAATCCTGAGTTGTCACCAAATATGGCAGATTGTTTCTAGGCCACATTGTTCCACTACTTTCCCCGCCTCTGTGCTGATCCTTCCCATGCTCCAAGGCCAAGCGCCACCCCCACACCCTACGAGCTTATTAAATGGTTTGACTTTGATATCTTGTCCACACTTTGAGATTTGCCACTGACTGGCATAAATGTTAAACACACCGCAGCCCTTGCCAGTCAGACCAGACCCACTCAGGAACTGCCTGTGTTTTCACCCGTCTGTGGACTCCTAGCTTACTTGGTTATACAAGTTTGGAACGCATTGGCCAGTATTGCCTTGAGGGTGTCTTGCTCAAGTGTCTGGAATTCCTTAAGTAGATAAGCCCTGTGCTGGGATTGGGGACACGGAGATGAAATAAACTTGCCTTCTGTCCTTGAGATGTGCTAAGAGTTGTCCCAGCAACATTCCCTCTCTGCCCTGCAGTAGGGAAGGCTTCCTGGGTGGGGCCTGGGTGAACCCTAAAGGAGGAGAATTAGGAGTTTCTCACACAGTCTAGAGGGAAAGGGCACTCCAGACAGAGGGTTTTCCACAGTTACTGCCTGTGTCCCTTGAGGGCATCCTCTTCTTACTTTGTATTCCCCATCTGCCTAGCAGGGCATTTGCCAAGATTAGGTGTTAATAAATGCTACATAAATCATTTGAAGCTCAGGGAGCAATACAATATGAGGCTTGACAGCTCAGATGAGGCCAGTTTTTGGAGGACTCGCATGCTTGCGAGGGGAATTGGGCCTTGATCCAGCCAGAGGTAAGATGATCAAGGCCAAGATGAGGGAGGGCTTTTGAGGAAGTTATTTGTCCTCTTCTTTGTCCTCTGCCCACAAAGGGTCCATGTGGTCTGCTCCTGTGGGAGCCCAGAGGCCCTGAAAGGGGTGAGAGGGCTCAGGAGTGGACCACAGAGCTGCATGTCTTTACATTGGCAGTTTCTTCTAACCTCTTAGCTGTGAAGGTAAAGACAGTAGATCACACATTCATGAGTAGTGCAGGGACCAGAACCCATGCCTCTGCCATGCCATTTGTTGCTTCTGCCTTGGTTCTCGGCCAAGTGCAACAAAGAGTGAAGTGTTTAATGGCAGTTTGAGGTATAGGAAGCCACTCTTTTACAGGGGGATGTTGATTGATCTAAAAGCTACAAACCTTGCATAACTGTCCTTTTAGCACATTATAGAAATTACAGAAATTTACTGAATCCAGCTAAGATTTGACAGTCCTTCTAATTCTGAAAATAGAAATAAAGAGAAGGAGCAGGGGAACTGTAAGCTTCAATTTCCTTATCTGTAAAATGGTGATAAAAGAATCAAGTGATTGTTGTGAGGTGTGCATGGGATTGTGCACTGTAATGACTGGCATGCACCGTGGCACACACAAGTCAACATACCTCAAGTGGATATAGAACAAAACAAAGGTTGGGTCTTGGGAGAGGAGTGGCTTATAGGGGCTGATTTGGGAGTTCTTGTGGTACAATGCAGTAAATGTCTGAACGTGGGTGAACACTGAGAGCCAAGATAAGGGGAGGTCAGAGCTTAGGCGGGGGTCAGTTCATTTTGAAGGTTGAAGGAAGAGGCTGAGTCAGGTGAAGAAAGCCAAGCCTAGGATTCAATATAGAAGAAACCAGAAAAGTGCTAAATCACTGAAGCCAAGGAGGAGGGCACCAAGGAAGGGATACCTGTGCAGCATTATACAGTGCTGTGGACTGGTGAAGTGGGGATGGAGCAAAGGCCCTGGGGTATCCTCTCCCCACCCCTAGTGGTGTCATGTTTGTGTCCTTATCTTCCAGGAGTGGATGTGATAAATGGGGCCCTGGAGTCTGTCCTGTCCTCCAGTAGCCGTGAGCAGTGGACCCCAAGTCACGTCAGTGTGGCTCCTGCTACCCTTACCATCTTGCATCAGCAGGTAAAGACTGGGTTGGGAGAAGGCATGGCTGTGCTTTGCCATGGAGGGGAGCCTGGGGTGGTTGAGGAAGAGCTGCCAGTAAGGTGGATGTGCCCAGTGGAAGAGAGGGTTGGGCTGTTCCTTTCTAACCGGGTTCCATCCCTCCAGACGGAAGCAGTGCTGGGGGAATGTCGGGTGCGTTTCCTCTCCTTCCTGGCTGTGGGCAGAGATGTCCACACATTTGCGTTCATCATGGCTGCCGGCCCAGCCTCCTTCTGCTGCCACATGTTCTGGTGTGAGCCCAATGCTGCCAGCCTCTCAGAGGCCGTGCAGGCTGCGTGCATGGTAAGTGGGTAGGGTGGTGGTGTGATGACGCCCACCTCACAGGGGGCAGGCTGGAGAGTGACTGCCCCACGTGCCTCTTTGCAGCTCCGCTACCAGAAGTGTCTGGATGCACGCTCCCAGGCCTCCACCTCCTGCCTCCCAGCACCCCCTGCTGAGTCTGTTGCCCGACGTGTAGGGTGGACTGTCCGCAGGGGCGTTCAGTCGTTGTGGGGTTCCCTCAAGCCCAAACGCCTGGGGGCCCATACCCCCTGAAGCCCTCAGTTCTTCTTCCACCTGCTTGCGTTGGGTCCCAGGGAACTCAAGGGTATGGGGCAGGGAGGGGCCCTGGAGGCTATTGTTAGGCCTCAGCGCTCCCCCCCACACCAAAGTGGCCCCTTCCCAGTAGCTGGGGTTCCCTGCTTAGGGGCTGGGGAGAGAGACCTAATCCCTGCAAGGAATTGACAATACTGGATTGATAAGGGGAGCTAGAAGCAAGGCCAGCCCCGGGCTCTCCACCCCCACATTTCAGGTGGAACAGGAGGAACTGGTCTAGGCCAGGCCCCATCTTGGTAGGGTCCGGCAGGGGCAGGAGGGGACTGGTTCAGGCATGGGTCCCCTCCCCCCTGTTCCATGAGCACCTCTGCTGTACTGATATCACTAATAAAGTCTGTCTGCCCTGCTAAGCCGTGTGCCTTCCTGTGCCTGCATTACATCATCACCTGCAGTACCTTGACCCCTCAGTTAGGCTCATATTCCCAAAGCCACCGTGCCCTCCCTGATTTTATTATTATTATTTTTTTTTAAAAGATTTTATTAATTTATTTGAGAAAGAGAGAGAGGACGCACGGGGGAGGGGCAGAGAGAGAATTCCAAGCAGACTCTGAGAGCAGAGCCCCACTCAAGGCTTGATCCCACGACTCTTGAGATCATGATCCCAGCTGAAACCAAGAGTCCAAAGGCTTAACCGACTGAGCCACTCAGCTGCCTTGCCCTCCCAGCTTTAAAAGAAGTAAGTGGGATGGTCACAGAGGGGTCTGGAGTCCATGTCTCTTATCTTTATTTTAACAGCCTGGCAACCAGGCGACAGCAGCAGTACAGGGTTCCTGGCTGGCCAGCACAGCTCCTGTCTGATCTGCTGGCACAGTGCCAACTTAGACCTTTGCTCCACAGCCATGAATGGCAGTAGTCCCAGGGCAGCTTAGATGCTGGGCCCAGGCAGAACAGCTGCCCCTTCTCCTTTATCTAGCCAAACCAGCTCTATGAAAGAAGGTCCTGTTTCCCTGGTGTGCTTGGGGCTCAGATGCACTTCTTACCACAGCTATCATGTGGGGTTTTGTTCCTTTTCTAAGATTTCCACTTTCCTAGCTCTGGGCCCTGGGGGTGCTAGCAGAAAGGTGGCCTTGGCTGCAGGCTCTGGACATCCGGGAGGCCTCCATCTGGCACTAGATGGCGACATAGAGCAGGGCTGTCAGAACGAGCAGAGAGCTGGGCACACAGAGTCGTCAGGCGGCAGGGCATGCCACAGGGCTCTGAGGGCGGGTGGCCCTTATGGTAGAGAAACCAGAAGGTCTGGAATAGTTGCGTGTCACCCCTCATGCGATACACTAAGTCATGCCAGGCAGCAGGCAGTGCATTGGGCAGCCCGTAGGTTTCTCTTGCCCTATAGAGACGCTGCCAGTATGGCGTGGCTCCTGGTTCATTAGCCTGGGTCAGGTTCAGGATGTAGGTCTCATGATCCAGGACCACATGAGAGCTCCCCGGGTAGTTGCCATCTATTTGGTAGACTCGGTAACCTGCAAAGAGGGAGAACTGACTGGAGAGGGAAGGAGCCAAGGCCACTCCGGGGAGGGGTCACATGTCCCACCTGCTCTTTGCCAGCCTTGGCTCCAAGTCTGTTTCTGCTTTCTCAATCCCATCAACTTCCTCTATCCTAATAGCTCCCTTCCACCTCACTCACCAGGATTAAGGCCGATGTAGGTGGTGGCACTGGGTGCCAGGAAGGCTACAGAGAGCGGCCGGCTCAGGGTCTCCTCATCATAGAAGACTTCAAACTCATCCACGTGGGTGTGGCCAAAGAACTGACCAGCCAAGGTGTTCTCATACCTGCCAGAAGACACTAATTATATTCAGAAGGTTCTAGGGATGGGGAGGAAATCTGGGGAGATGGGGTGCTTCTTTCTTCACACACTGAACGAAGAAGCCTCTCTACCCCAGTGGAGCAGCAGGAATAAGATGCTGGAAGGAATTTCCAACCTTCAGGCTGTTCATCCACCCCTCTTCCCACCTCCCCCCTACCTGGCTACTATTCGGTAATAATTCCAGCTCCAGCTCTTCAGGCAGTGCCCCGGGGGAATGTGGCCAATTATATGTACCTGCAGGGAGAGTTAAGGAAGGTTATCAGGGATAACGCCCCTCTATTTGCTAGATGGGATGCTGCCCGATTCATGAGTTGGTCAATAAAGCCAATTGGATCTTTTAAATAAACAAACAAGTCAACAAACAAACAAACAAATATCAGAGCAAGGAGGGGTTCAGGCAGCCCCGGCCAGGAAAAATTGGTACTCATTTCCTACAACAGCCGGCATTGCCGGCCAGAGACAGGGAGTGGATGAAAGGGCTTCTAAGAGGGATCAGGAGCCGAACTCCCAGGGAACACTTGTTGGGAGCTTCAGAAAACCAAGCTTCTCTGCTCACAGGTGTTCTGGCTCTAGATAGGAGTCCGGTCACAAAGGGCCTGCTTCTTTCCCAACCCCCACCAGCAACTACTCCACCATGTTCTCACCACTTTCCCTCACCTTGTCTCCTCGATCCTCAGCAGCCTGAAGCTCCCCCACTAGCCACTGGAGCTGTCCAGCGGGATCTGTGGAGTTGATCAAGAGCCAGAAGTTCTCACGGGAACAAAAATTCATATTGAGAGAGATGAGACGGAGGCCAGGACGTGGGGAAAGGGCATAGAACCCCCCAATTCTGAAACAAAGTGAATATGAAAATCAACACTCATTCATAATCCAGGTCCTGCTCACCCAGTCCTGTGCTAAGCATTTGGGTGGAAGGCAGAGGCACACAAGACTTCCACAAGAGCACAAGAAGATCACATTCCAGCTGAAGACCAAAAAACAGTACTGATTGTAGGGCCCATGTGACTGAGATGAAGGGGCTCAGAAGGCTAAGGGCTCTAGGAGTTCAGGGAAGAGATAAGTGAGCTAGAATGGGAAGGCCCTTCACAAGGAATATGATCTGGGCCTGGGAAAGTTGGGATGTTAAAATGGGGGGTGCCAACATTTTAGAGAGGGCCAACATGAGCAAAGACATGGAGAGGGTATGCTGTCAGCCCGGTGAGGGAGGGTGTCTGGATATAAGGGTAGAGATGGAAGATAGGGTCAGAGGTGGGAGAGAGCCAGTGAGGAGAGCTGACTCATGATAGAATAGTTACAGGTAATACCCAGATCTTCTACTCCCTTCCCTATCATCCACCTTTCTCTTCCTGGGTTTCCATGGACCTCATCTACCTGAGAGTGTGAAGGGCTTCAGTAGGTAGCCAGGACTCCCACACCTTGGCCATTGCCTCATAGAGCCAGCTGGAAGAGTAATTGCCCTCTATGAAAGGGGGAGGGAAGCCATTGACAGGTGTACTCTCGTGGTTGCCCACAGCAGGGTACACAGGCACTGAGCCCAAGAACTTCTTCACAAGGGCTGTGACAGTGGTCAGGGCCCGAAGCTGGTCCTGACGTGACTGATGCCAGACGTTGTGGGCGGGGATGTCTCCTGTCCAGTACACCATATCAAAGGGGCCAGCAGGGCCCAGCCCGCTCAACAGGCTCTCCAGGGTCCGCAGGGGCAGGTCACACTTGCTGTACTCGCCCCAGTATCCAGCACCTGGGCGGGAGGTAGGTGGCAGGCCAGAATCCTGGCGGCAACACAGCGGATTCTCACAGTCAGGGTCTGTGCCCTCCAGGTAGTCATGATCCCAGTGCAGGTCAGTGAGGAAGAGGATGCGACTGACGGGGGCGCCTGGGGCTGGGGGTTTGGGTGGTTGTGGGGAAGGCTTTGGTACAGCTGGCAAAGAGATGTTCCAAGATGAGAAGATGTCCCAGTGCCCGCAGGTGTTGCCCAGGAGCAGACCACAGGCCTCAGATGGGCTCAGCACTGAGCGTGTCCACACTTCCACCATGTCATCTTCAAAGAGCTGGACAGCTGACTGGCACACAGTAGGCGGTGCTATCTTCAGCAGTTTGCAGAGCTTGGTGGCCATGGAGCCCATCCAGGCCACACTGGGCTCCTTCTGTAGTGGGAAGAACCAGTGATGAGAGGTCAGAGGCAGCACAGGAACCAGGCCAAACCCTGGCTACCACCCTTTGTACCTCCATCTCCAAACTGGGGCCAGGCTGGCCTCAGTGCCACCGTGAAGAGACCACAGTGCACTCTCTGCCTCCCACAGACACTGCCCTGTGACTCAGGCAGCACCAGGCCAATACTTCCTCCTCCCCTCAGGAGGCAGTGGCATTTCAGGCCTTTTGCTTACCCAGCTGGCTTCCTCAGGCACTGTCTGCAGAGTGCCCTGAAATCTAGGCTGGGTAGTATGTCTGTCCATAGTTTGGGGCAGGCCTTGGAGAACACTGCAAAGCTCACTGACCAACTAGCACTCATCATAATCCCATCAGGGTCAAGACATCACTATCTAGTCCCACACCCCTGGATGTTTCTGAATTCAAGTCCCTGTTGAGTAACCGGTACAAGGCCTGGTGCTCTGGATTACAGGTGCCAACTTTACCTCACAGGGGATTCAGTGTCAGATGTACAGGGAAAGGAGTCCCAGCCCTTCCCCTAGCAGACAGCTGTGTGCCCTTATGCAAGGGACTTCACCTCTTCCAGACTCTAATCATTTGTAAAATGAAGATAACAACTGTAATGAACACCTCACAGGTTTGATTTAACCTATATAAAATGGCTAGCACAGTGGCCGGCCCACAATTTGCACTCTTTCTTCACAAGGTCACAGTGGAGGTGGTGCTGGTGTGTAATCATGGGTGTCCCTAAAGGACAGCAAATCCGGTGAAGGCTTGTAGATAGATGCCAGCCTCCCCATCACGTTTGCTCTTCAGGACCCCAGGCCCAGCACCTCCCTCGCCCTTGCCCCCACCAGCGCTCCCCTTGGCTGCTCCATCACAGCCCCTTTAAGCGCTCACCTTCAGCCCAAAGTCGATGGCGGTGAACAAGCCTTTGCAGACTGGGCAGGTGAGATTCCACCACCCAAAGGCGTTGCGGAGCTGGGGCACTAAGCGACCGAACCTGGCGGGATGGCTTTGGGAGGGAAGAGGGTGGGCCCCGGCAGGGGCCCAGAGAACCAGGGAGTCGGGCAGGGCCAACGCCAGAGCCAGGCCTATCCACAGGAGCCTCAGTCTGGGGGACCCCCGAGACCGCCCCGATTCCGTCTCCCCGCCGGATCTAGGGTGGCCCTGGCCGGGAGATACTCCGTGGCGGGGCATTGCCCAAGTTTCTAGATAGGCCGCTTCGCCCGTCCGTGTCCCGCCGGTCCAGGCGCAGGCTCTCAAGGGGCCGAGCAGCGCCAGAGACAGCTGACTAGCCCCCGCTGCAGTCGGGGGACTGCTTCGCGTCCAGCCGCAAAGCAGCTCCACCCCTTCCTCTTCCTCTGTTCCCCAGCAGCTGATGTCCGCCGCTGCCAAGAGTGCTGTCAGAGCCGGGGAGGTGGAGAGAACCGAGCGCGCCCGGGACCCGCCCCCGCCCCGCCCCGCCCCGCCCCCGCCCTTCCCCGCCTCCAACTGCGACTGCGCCTGCGCGGGTCGCTGGGCGGAGGGAAGCTCCCTGCGGTCTAAACCTTGGAAGGGCGCTGCAGCCGCCCACGCACCTGTTGTGTGTGGGTGCAGTGTGGTGTGGCTGGTGAAAGGCTCGACTCTCCAAACCGGGACTAAATTCTTGGGGGGGCTAACTTCCAGACTCACTTGGCACTCCATTCAGCCGCCCACTCGGGAAGGGAGGAGCGGGGAGAGCACGACCAAGCAGGTCGCCAAGTGTGTTACCTCTGGCCAGAGAGCGCCTTCCTTCCATCTTTGATGTTCTGCCCCTGGCACCAGCACCCTTGAATCACCCTGACTGAGAATCTTTGAGTCACATTTGACGCAGACTTTTCCTGATGGAAGGGGCCCTGAACTCGTGGGGACACCCACACATTCACTTTACAGATGAGAAAACTGGCCCAGAGATAGTGAAGTGACTAAGGAGGGGGTACAGAGCGTACATCCAGGAGAGCCAGGAACAGGGACTAGAACTTGTGTGTCCCATCCCCGTGTATCCATGTTGGTGAAAGCTAACATTTACTGAGCTCTATACACGTTCCCGCATGGATCCAGACATTTTATAATACTGTCTTCAACTGGAACGACTCTAAGAAGTAAGTATGATGCTGTTATTACTTACATTTTGCAGATGGGGAAAATGAAGCATGGGGAAGTTAATTGGCAGAACAGCAGTTAAAACCTGTGAGCTCTTTAATTCTAGAGTTCTTCTCCAAGAGGCCTGGAACTACCAAGTCCTGGCAATTCTTTGAGAATTTCTTTCAAGTGACTCTTCCTCATCATCTCAGAGTAATTGTGGTATAGTAAGAAATATATTTGATCTTTGTCTCCAGTGACTGTTCCTGGCACAGAGCTAAAATCTTTTAAACTCCCTTGTTATTTATAAGTGCCCTTTTCAATCACACCTAAACTTATGCTAATGAGGGGTGACTTTGGGTGGGCCCCCAGATAGCCTCAGGATGGGGCTGGTGACTTAAAGACGAAGTGATTAGAGGGTGAGAAACTTCAGCTCCACCCTCAACCTGCGGGGAAGGGAGGAGGACTGCAGAATAAACTGTCAATCTGAGTGTTTCCTGTTGGTGAATTTACTCAGTTGCTATTACGGGTCACAGCTGAAGAGCACCTGGCAGCTCCGTGACATCACTCCCCTTTATACTTCGTCCTGTGCATATCTTCCATTTGGCTATTCCGGACCTGTACCTTTTGTCATAAACTGGTAAATGTAAGTAAGGTGTTTTCTGAATCTGAAGCTGGACAATCTTGTGGGACTGAGTCCTTTAATTTGTGGGATTTGATGTTAACTCTAGGTAGTGTCAGCATTTAATTGAGCTGTTGAACAGCCAGTTGGTTTTGGAGAATTGGAGAATTGTGTGGTGTCACTAGAAGTGGTATCAGAAGTAGGATTTGCTAGCCAGGCCCTAGCTCATGGAAACATGTGGTTTGGGTAAAGAAGATGAAACAGTGGAGGAAAGGATGAGGAACCTTTGATTCCAGGGTGGCCATGGCCACATACTTACCCAAAGTGTGGAACAGTAATTGTGCTGTAACCAATTACTAAAGGTAAAAATTTACCAATGGAATTTAGAGGTAGATCCAACTCCTGGGGAATTGATTCATTGGATGCTAAAGGTGATGGAAACTAATATGAAAAAAGCAAATTATATAATCTTTTCGTTATTGTTCTCTGTAATAGCAAAAATGAAAGGAAGGGAGAATGCTGGTGAGTCCTTGATGCTCGAGCAAGCTCAGATTTTAGCTTGTCTGAGTTTTCACCACTAGTCTCAAATCTGTCCCTGAAGGGAAAAATTATATGGGGAAAACAGAGTACCTGTAAGACTGGTCATAAGAAGATTGGCCACATGGGAGAGGGCAAAACCAAGAAACTCCTGAAACTAGGAAGTACAATGTGAGAGAGTTGTTTTATTTTGTAGATTAAGATCATCAACTTCCTGAAGAACCTTTGCTGAAATGGACTGTGAGCATGACTAATTTAGGGGCAGTATCTTTGTTTTTACATGCTTCGGAATGGAAGAGCATGTTTGGGTTCTTACAGGACCCATTGGTTACTGTGGAACCATCCAGATGGCTATACACCATCCAGATACACAGAGGGTTATTCCTGAGGAAATGGCCAGCCTGCTGGGTTGGATAAAAGCCACTGTGAGGTCTCTTTACCCTGACAAGGGACACTGTTAACAATCCCTATAAATTCCAAGTGGAATGCCCTACATCAAGCAGCTGATCTGCTTCATATGCAAGCCATGTGGGATTGGCTTTATGATGACCTTGGCTTTATGATGACCTTGGCTTTATACTCACCCACTAAATATGCCCATTACCTAGGTCATGGTAAACACTGTGGTTAAGCAGGCCACTTTTGCATGGACCCCCCCCCCCCATGTAAATTTTCTGCTGCAAAATCAAGCAACAGTCCAGTAAGTCTTTTTTTTTTTTTAAGATTTTATTTATTTATTTATTTATTTGAGAGAGAGAGAGAGAGAGGGAGAAACAGCATGAGAGAGGAAAGGGTCAGAGGGAGAAGCAGGCTCCCTGCTGAGCCGGGATCCCAATATGAGACTTGATCCCTGGACCCTGGGATTATGACTTGAGCCGAAGGCAGTCGCCACTCAGGCGCCCCAGTCCAAGAAGTCTTATCAAATTTGTTGTGTAAGCTTCCCCTCATGGGTTTTATAGATGCCAATAAAAACATTAGATTAATAAGAGAAGGGGGAGACACAAAGGGGAGAGTTAAGGTACATCTTGATGGACAGTAGGATGGATATGTTTAGATGGTTATTAAGAAGGGGACTTCAAATAGCACCATTTCTCCTCAACTGTTACTGCTCTCAGTCTCTGTCCTTCCTATGTAAGAGGACATTGATGACCCTTAGGGCCCAAATTCCTGTGTTCTCCAAGACCTTATCCCAGGAGGTCCTTTCCTTTGCTCACATTGCATCTCCTTTACAGCATATTTCTTGCTCACTCCCTCCTTGCTCATTTGCCCAGTTCTCTTTCTCACAGTGTTTCATAGAGTTGCTTTTGGTGGTACCATCGTTGCTGTGTGTCACACACTCTTACCCTTCTGGGTAGGTGATCCAAAGCCCCTCTTCCCCTGACATGGATACATTGTTCTCCAGGAATTAGGTTCTGAGACAGAGATGAACATACAAGAGATTTCTTAGGAAGCGCTCTTGGAATCTACAGCTGTGGAATGAAGGAAAGGTAGCAGGATTGGGGAGAGGGACAAGTTGAGCTTTGATGCTGTCTTGGTAGAGACCTCAGTGGACCTTATGGGAGTTCTGAAGCTGGGATGACCCTTCAGAATTGTCCTGAAATGGCATGAGTGGGTTTGCTCCATTTGGGGAAATGCCTGTAGGGGGCTGATAGCTGAGGGTTTTCTTTTGAGAACACTCCTAACAGCCAGGAGAATAAGTCCTTCATTCCTGAATGGAGACCAGGCAACAATGACAGCATCCACCACCGTCCATACACCTTGTGTGCCACTTGGATCCATTTCTTCATATTCGGTCTGGGAGCAGCTCTTTCAGCATTCTTGTGAGTCTCCCTTCATGATGGCAACTTAGAAAAGGAAAGCTAGTGGGAAGAATTATAGGTACTGTAGCTGGTATCAGGACAGCCAACGTCTCCTTTGTGTAGCAGCTGCCATGCCTCCTCTGTTCTTGTAATCAGGACCCTCTCTGTGGCCAAGATAGTGATGCCTCGTTTTGCCTGCTGGTCCTTTCACAAAAGGAGCCCCAAGTTCCTGGGCAGCAGTCATGCTCTGTCCCCTGTTGGACACATTATCCCTTTGGGAATCAAGACCTCTAAACCTGCAGAGCCTAGACTTGTAGGAGCAGGAAGTGCAAATTCCCCAGGTGGATCACAAGATTAATGGTAAGAAGGCCATTCCTGCTTCTTCCTTGTTTCTGGACTCATGAATTCTATCTTTTGGGCACATAGCACTATATAAAGGTTGCTATTTTAAAGTGGACACTGCACGTTGGAAGATGGCACCCTATCTTCTGTAAGTGTCACTTTCAAGTTTATGCTTTAGCTTTGCCTTCACCAGCCCATTCCAACACTCTGTCAGGCTGGTGGTTTCTGGGTGATGTGATATGTAATGTGACTCTCCTAGTCATGTGCTCACTTTACACCTCCTTTGCTCAAGACTGGGTCCTTGGTCTGATGTGATGGGATCTCATGCCTGTTCAAACACTGTAAGCTCTTGGAGCATGGTGATAGTTGATTCCCGGTAGGCAGTACAGACAAAACCATACCTGCAATATGTTTTTATTCCTGACAAAACAAATTGCTTCACCTTTTGGAGTGGAAGGAATCCAGTGTCATCAACTTGCCAGTAAGAGGCTAGTTGGTCTCTTCAAGGTATGATGCCATGTTGGAGACTTGGCTTCTGTTTTGCTGCTAGTGGGTTAGACATTTGACATGTGTCAGAAACCTGTATCAGCTTCGGTAAGTGAGAGCCCACACTATTGGGTCTATGGTAATAGGTTTCTAATGATGATATGCTGCCCCCTAGTCTCTGTTTTGGGAAGAAAGTCCTGTCATTTCTAGTGCTGTCAGTGAGCTCAGCTCAGCAGGGGTGTTTTCTACCATCAGCCTAGGCCTGTATAGGAGAGCCATTATGGAATTTCTTAGTGATGCTGGTGCCCCTGTTACTAAACATTCCTTATTACTTTCGAAAATTGTGTATCCCATGGAACACATGGAACAGTTATTTCGTAAGTTTTCCAACCTCATATAATATATCCATTCTTGATACCCACCTTCTGAGCCTTTTTATCCTTCCTGTCAGTGATGGTGTTTCTGCCTCCCTTGGTGCAGGCCGCCACTTTTTCTATGCTTTTAACTGCTGATTAATTATTTTAAACCTTTCATTACTTTTTTCTAGTGCATCAGTTGAGCTTATCTACACTCAATTCCCTCATTCTTAGAGTTACAATTTCCCTCTTGTTTCTCGTATAGTTACAGTTTCCCTCATGACCCAGCCGTGCATTTCCTTCCACCAGCATACAATCCCAGTTCACCGGGGCCTCTCCCAACTCCACCTAATCAGTGCTGGCCCCTTGTCGGCTGGTTGGTGAAGGTTCCAGCTCCACAATCCTGTCTTACCATCTGCTTTCTTGAAGCATCCTGGCACCAACTTCTACAGGTTGGGTGACCCAATAGCAGACCCTGCTGGATGATGGAGATGAACTTGCCTGAGGTTTATTAGGGAGTACTGTCAGGATCACTACCTGTGAAGGAAAGGAAGCAAGTAGAATTTGGCAGAGGTGGAGGATGAACCTTGGTGTAATCCCTACAGAGGCCTCAGCTGACCCTGCAGTGAGTTCTGAAGCTGAGATAACCTCTCAGAAGTGTTCCAGGCTGAATCAAGGGACTGGGCCTTTGTTCCCTCCCAAACTGATCAATCATAGGCATCCTATGGGTATGGCCTGGGGTGAGGTGGTTTTCCTAGGTGGAGGCTCCTGGGTGGGCTCATCATTGAGGGCCATATTCCAGAAGCACCCCCCTGTAGCTGGGAGACTGTCTTTCATTCCTGAGGGGAAACCTGGGTGACCTCTAGCAGTGTCCACCA